CTGATTGTGCATAGATAAGATCCCTGAAGTTGCAAAGACTAAAGTCTCAAAACCAAAGAGATATTCTTTATCAAAGTTAAGACTCTGCCACGCCCCCCTAAAACGGCTCGTTCTAACACGCCCCCACATGTCTACCTCACTATGTGGCAATATTAGTATAATGCCGCCCAAATGTGCATGCAAAGAAAGAAGGCGTGGTTTCAGTAACCGCAGTTAGTGTTGATGCAGCCATGTCAGGGAGATGCTTTGTGTTTCTAGGTGAAAGCAAAATAACTTTATTTGGCCTTCCGAAAGTAGATGCATTTAGGAATCTTTAAGAATACTTACAACAGAACAGCAATGCATTTTATGGATGACCGTTTCGTGAACCTAGGAGAGGAGGTAATTCTGACTTTGCTATGACAATCTGGCGCTTTTGAATCAGCTACTGTTTTGTTATTAGTTTAAGTATTTGCTATTGACTGTTCAAATGCAGAGTTTTGCGCATCGTGTGTGTGTGTGTGCGCGCGTGCATCTTTTCATTTGAAAGATGAAGCTCGCGATTACGGTAAGGGGCGTTACATTTCCGATGAATGCTTGTGATGTTCGGCCAATCACAATGCACTGGGTCAGCTGGCCAATCAGAGCAGACTGCGCTTGTCGGAAGGAGGGACTTGAAAACGAAGCGTTTGAGAGAGGCGGGGCATAGAGGACATACAATAATGTACAGTATTTGAAAAATAATGTGTTTTTTTAACATTATAGCATGTCAACATATTCTGTTACACCAAATACACAAAATAATGATCTTTAAAATAGCATCATATGACCCTTTTAAGAGAACTTAAGCGAAAGAACTCGGCATTCGCACGCTGACTGAGAGGCGCGTTATTCTGTGAGCGCGCTTTTAGTGTGTGAGCACAGAAACCCGTCGGCGTTCAAGTACTGGACAAGACTTAAAAACACATGCAAATACTGAATATCACTTTCGTGATAATGCATTGAGTTCAGTGACATTTCCGTCAACTGTCCCTGGACTTGGTTGGACTCTGACATATTTTCCGAGTCCGAAAGACTTAAGTTCGAGTCAAGTCCAAGTAAAAATGCATCCGAGTCCGTGACAAGTCCGAGTCTTTTAAAAAACTGTACTCGAGACCAGACTCAAGCCTGAGTACGAGTCCGAGTACCCCAACTCTAGATTGTATACTCAGTTGTAGATGCACATGATTAAGTCATTCATTCACCCCAGCTTTCGTTCTGAGCACTGCCTTGTTATGCTTCTACTGTTTGTTTTTCAGGTCAGAATTTGAGTAATGGACAGTGGCACTCCATAGCCATCGAGGTCAAGGGTCAGAAGGTGTCTTTAACAGTCAACAACCAGAAGCCCGTCACTGTGGAAGTCAGTGGGCTTATTCAGAACATGCAAAGAACAAGCATCTTCATCGGAGGTATAGCATTAGAAATTGAAATAGCTAGTTTATCCTGATTCTTGGGAAGAATTTCTGGCTAGTAACTTATTTTGATCTGTCATCTACAAAACTCAGTTCTGAACTACTGAACTGCAGGCAAAAAAGTGGTTATTACCAAAAACATTTTCCTGAATGCAAGGTACAATTTTCTTCTACCTTATTAACTCTAACCTCCATCAACTGAACGTTCCTCATATTCCTGAATAAAATACAGGCTTGGCAAGCTGACCTAACCTCCATCAACTGAACGTTCCTCATATTCCTGAATAAAATACAGGCTTGGCAAGCTGAGCGCATTCTCAGGGTCCATTTATTTCACATGCATGTTATTCCCAAATCTCCTGCTTTGTTCTCGAAGGGTTTTTTTCCGTTTAGTTCATTCAGGCAGCTCTAACCACATTCAATTACTGTAGAGGATAAATGCATTTTCTTTAAAGCTATTATTGAAATCTTTGACTCAAACATCCAATGTCTTAACTAAGACCTCTAAATCTCTCATTTTGCTTACTTCAGGGACAATGCAGTCTTGCTGAGATTTTATAAGCTGCTTTGCACAAATTTCTCAGAACAGAGATTTTTCTTTGTGCAACTTGGTATTAGTTGTGGATGTTGTTTTTGATTTAAAAGAGAGTAAATTGGGATTTTCCATTATTTTAGGCTGCCCTTTATTCCAGAGCGATTTCAACTGTGAAAACCCCAACAGAGGATATCAGGGCTGCCTTCGTTTCCTATTCATCAACAACCATCAAGTTGACGTACTTCAGATTCAGCAGGAAAACCTGAGCAACTATAGTCAGATTAGCTTTGATGTTTGCAACATACAAGACAGGTCAGCTTTCCCCATTGATTCCCCATCTTACTTAGCTTTTTTTGTTTTTGGTGATTCACCATCCATGTCTTGCAATATGTAGTGATCAAATGTGTAATTTGGCTTATAACCAGGCCCAGATGGATTTGGCAGAATTTCTTGGCTTTTTGAAGTAAAATCTGTTATTTGGAATTATAATGGAATATGGGTTAAACAAAGCTAAAACAAAGTGATACACTCTTATTTTTAGCTTGAAGTATTATCATATCAGTCAAAATATTTAATAATCAAACATGCAAGACGCAGGGGAAGTGTAGAAGTTGGTGAATGATGACCACTCCAATTCTGTGGATTGGATTCCATGTGGGCAGACTCATAATGTCTAAGCATAGTTTCAGTTTTTTATCTGCATTTGTCAGGTGATAATTATCTTAAACCCCTTATACTCAGAAAAGAGAAAATAATAGCACCTCTCCTCAATAAACTGTGTGATTTATTTATTCATTATTAGGCAGTAGTTAGGCAATCACCATTATTTAAAATCATAAATTATCACTGTATTTTAATATGTTTATCCCAACAGGTGTTTGCCCAATCTGTGCGAACACGGTGGTCAATGCATCCAGTCATGGGACCAGTTTTACTGTGACTGTTCTGGAACAGGATACACGGGAGCCACCTGTCACAACTGTAAGTTATGCAAATCCCCAAAACAGCCTTCATGATTACTCAGATGTGAGCTGGATATCACTGTCTTGCAGTGTTTTGATGATAATATATGTACAGTACGTGGGTTTATTTCAGATATGCATTGTCAAAGTTATAATTTTCTATTTGCTAAAATTATTTTTAAAAGAATTAAAGTGGCTAATTGTCATCTACAGGTGCTTACATTGTGTGGGAGAAAGTAGCCTACTAAATTTTGCAATTAGATCTTTAATTGACTTCGACTTCAATTAAATTTGTATTATGTTTCAGTAAAGTTAGTGAGGTCGGTCTTTCCCCATAGTTTTATTGTTATTATTCATATAAATGGTTTTCATTATTTTAAATGATACTTATTTGATTAGTCCAATGCTTCTTACTTTTTATTTTTGAATCATTAAGATTAATTAGAGTGTACATAATGTATCACTTGACAGCTGCAAGTTTACATGTCATGTAACGATGATATGAAACTGTGTACTCCCCAATTTATCCATTTAATTTTGCCATCTGTGTCTACCATAGTTTTATTGTTATTATTCATATAAATGGTTTTCATTATTTTAAATGATACTTATTTGATTAGTCCAATGCTTCTTACTTTTTTATTTTTGAATCATTAAGATTAATTAGAGTGTACATAATGTATCACTTGACAGCTGCAAGTTTACATGTCATGTAACGATGATATGAAACTGTGTACTCCCCAATTTATCCATTTAATTTTGCCATCTGTGTCTATGGTAGTATTTTGAGTAAGCTGTAATTATTTAGGCAGATACATTTTTACGGTTCCTTGCTGTAATCAAATTTGTTGGATCAATATGTTCTAATCTGCCGCCACATGCACTGTTTTATCATACGCTCATGACTGTACATGTTCTCTGGAGGAGAGAGAGGCATGACAATGCCATCTGTTAGACTTATTGCATTAAAAGACCGAGAAATATGATATTTCCATTTTACAAGTCCTGCTGTGCAATTCACTGTCAGCAAAACAACACATGCAGCAAATTAGCTCACTCTACTGCACAGAGGATGTCTCTGTCATGAAGAACAGGTCTCAAGTAAACAATAATTACCTCTGTTTGCTAAATGAACTGTTTGAAATGGTTATGCCATTGTTAGGAATATTAATTTAATATACGTAAGTGAACGAAGACTAGTTTGCATGTGTCTTTATGTGTGACTGATTTAACAGATATCTGCTATCAGTAGCATTCAGGCAGAATGCTCTGTCTAAATGATACAGCTGAATCATCAAACGTTGACATGTATAATTTATCTCATATGATTACACTTTAAACTTTAAGGCAACAAAATGTTCTTGATTTCACTTTTGTGTTTACCTCCTACAGGCTCAGTATCCCTGTGCCAAGCATGCTGATGTGCCAAAATGCAAGCGTTCTGTAATTAAACACAACATAAAAACAGCAGCAGATTTATTTACATCATTTCTATGATTCATCATTTTCAGCAATATATGAGCGATCCTGTGAGGCCTTCAGGAAAACAGGAAGCCAGTCGAGTGTGTTTACAATCGACCTTGATGGGAGCGGACCTCTAGAGCACACTCAAGTCAACTGCACCATGGCAGGTGACTCACCCAAATATGCATACTCAGCTAGGCACGTTTCTAGACGTATTATACACTGATGTTCATCATCTTTCACATTATTGAATGATGAAGCTCAAAGCTCAGCACTTCTCATTTACAAACCTGATTAAGTGCATGGACAGGTGTGACCTCAGCATGTGTGGGGGACTGCCTGGAGAAATCACACATCTCATTAGGTGAGTTCAGCATCTCATGCGGCTGTCTAGTTCAGCAGGTTGGATCAGGGTTGGCCAATCTATCTCAGGGAGTCTCCGGTGAGGCAGATTTTTTGCTCAGGCACCACACAAACATCCCTGATTCAGCTAGACTGTATCCAATGAAGTGGATGATGAGTGTTACCAAGACATCTAGATGGTGTGATATTGCTGGGGTTTAGATGTTTTGTATTATCCCAAGACCGTGGGGGAATAATATGAACTTACTGATAGCGCTTTTTTTTTCATTGATATATGACGGATTAATAGTTTTCCATCATTTCATCAAAATTTAAGCAATTACTCCTGCCACGATTGATAGACACTGTGGATGCGGTTAACCAATAACAGTTTTTACTGTAGCATTTTTACAGTCTTTTTCTGTAAAAATCACTAGTATTTTTGACATCTAGACATCTAGAGATAAGCTCTTTATAACCAGCAGTGCTATAGCAAAATAAAGGGGGGGAAATGGTTTACCACCTCACCAAGACATGTGGAGGCAAGCAAATGCATCTTCTATCACCAGGAACAATGCGTTTTCTCACATCTCCTGTCAGGTTTCATCACCAATTTCACCGACCTTGGTTTATGGCTTCTGACATGACTCAGCATCAGATGCTGGGCTGATTTGTCTCTAAGATAAGACTGTAATACATTATATCATCACGCAGGGAAATTCAAGCCCCATTATGTCAGCAGCAGGGAGGAGTGCAGGTGAAAGAAGAAAAAAGTCAAGGAGCATGTCTCCCTGCAGAGACTGGCAGCGCGTACTAGCTGAGACTGATAGCTTCGTTTTTCTTAGTTTCATAGGCAGCAGGCTTTGGCTCCGAGGTTATTGAAGCTGCAAGCCGAGCTGAGAAAAGTAAGCACCGGGAAACTGTCATACGCTGTGACCACCTGCTGCACGTTGGCACAGCTAAGCTGACTTTATTTTACAAAGTTAGCTTTCATTGAGCTTTAGTCAGATTGCAAAGTTAGCTTTGTCACGGTGAATGCATTAAAAGATCCAGAGTCCCAATACAAATAGACCTTTTCTCTCAGACGACGCCAACAAGCACTGGCAAGAAAATCATTTGAAACTGACCTCAATTACAGGAGCTATTAACCATGCTAATTCTGCAAGACACCGCAGACCGGCACCTTTGGACATCACACACAGCAATTTCAATTTGCATAGAGAAAGGTACTAGCGTACACTACCATACTCTCATCATTTCACACCCTCCTGAATGAGTGACCTTCTGTTCTCTGCTTAATATTCATCAGGTATTTACATACGACTCCATCACTCTGTTAATCTCTCATTTTCATTTGCGAACACATACGGTCGATTGAGTGGAGGCTTGAGATGGTTGATACATGATCCGAGTCAATGGGGATTTCAGTCTGTACTAGTTTTTCAAGCATGCTGTGTTTGTGTTTGTGTGTGTGTGTGTGTGTGTGTGTTTCTTGGACAGAAGATAAAGTTTGGACCGTAGTGGGGCATGATCACATGAGGATCATTGACATTCGAGGATCCACTCCACGCAGCCCTTTTGTTCTCATCTTCAACTACACCATCTCGCCGTACCATCTCCGCTCGCTTGTGACCTCCTCGGAACACTGCCAACAGGAAGTGAAATATCGTTGCAGAAAGTCTCGGCTTTTTGACACCTGGGGTTGGTCTTGCTTTATTACTCTAGTCTCTCTTATTGTTTTTGTGTACTGTAGCGCTAAAATGTTGTCTTTCTTATGAAGTGTGTGATTTATGTACCTCAGGAATTATAATCCTCTAAATTCGACTAATATGTTCCAAAGGAACAAAAAAGTACCTCACAGCTAAATGATTCACAACAGCAGGTTATTACCACAGATATTAAAGTGGCTCAAGTGTGACATGACGACGATGTGCGGTGAATGATGATGTTCACTTAAAAAGCTGTTAGAATGTAATTCTTGTCATGCAGGGATGGTTTTGGGACATGATGAGAGCATTTGAATTGCAAAGGCATGCATAAAGCCTTAAAAAAGATTATACACTGGTACTCTAAATTATTCCATATGTTTTTTTTTTCTCACACTGCTTTAATACTCTCGACTTTGCGGGCATGATTTGCTTAGGCATTTAACTGAGTTGGAGTCAACTTATCCACAAACACGTGGCTCACTTTTTGGGTTCATTTTGATTTGTTCAGAATGAGATCCAGTAAAGCCTTTGAGCAAAAGATCAACCTTTGATCAAACATTGCTCAAATGGTGAACCTCCAGCACTAGACATCTTGCATTGCTGATTGCCGTTTGTCATTGGCTAAGCTCTTGGCCAGATCTCTGCACCGCTGTGATAGCAGATGTCTGGTCATGCACATTGCAGGAATACTATAATGGCTGCTTGACTGACAGGAGTCTCAGAGCCCATTACTGACATCATGCATGACTAAATTACATTAGACTCCAAACAGTGTTGTCATTTTTTGCATAATTATTTACTGCTAGATAAGTAAAAAATATTCTTATCCTAGGGGCATTTTGTCCATTTTCAGATGGAACTCCTCTGTCATGGTGGCTGGATAGAGACGGAGTGAAACGAACATATTGGGGAGGATTTCTGCCTGGGGTCCAGCAGTGCTCTTGTAGTTTGGATGGCAACTGCAGGGACATGAATTATTTCTGCAACTGTGATGCCGACCAAGACACCTGGTAAATCTTAATTTCACATTGAATCACGGTTGCCAGTTCTGTGTAACAAAACTAGCCCAATGGCCAGTCAAAAATAGCCCAATGACCCTAGCCCAAATATGAAAAAATGCATATTTTGCAGCCACTCTTATGTGTTATGCACAGTTTCAACTTAAAAATCATAATATAATATCATACAATGTAATATCATAAACATAAACACAGTTTGTTTTTATAAAGGATCTCACAGCAGCTCAAAAGCTTCATATAAGTACCCATCTCTCAGAATACCTAACATTTAGCACAGTTTATCATTGGTAGAATATATATTATTTCAATACAATCATTTCAGTCCGATATAATTTATTTAATGTGCCAAACCTTTAACCCGTGGGGAAAAAAAATCAAACTGTGGCATCCTTTTAAAAATAGCCCAATTTTCCACACACTTGGCACTCAGTGAGCAGTTTTTCCTACTTTGTAAGGTAATAGGATTGTTATTTTCTGATAGAACGAAATAAATCTTAGGCAGATTTGAGAGTTTTAGTCAATTAAATGGCTGTATTGGAATCGTACTTTAAAACCCTTCATTAGTTTTTCTGTTAAAGTGACCTAGACACTGCAGAAAAAGCTTGATACTCGCCAAAGGGCGCAAGTATTACCGTTTTTTAAGCAACAAGTGAAGCATACACATTCCTTGGAGGGCAATCTTCTACCTCAGAGAGAGATTAAAAAGACTTTCTCTCAGCCTTTCGCTCATTACCTCTTCTCTTGCACATTCTCTCATTCTCTTTCTCCTCCTGCAGGGCAAATGATACTGGTGTGCTGTCTTACAAAGACCATTTACCACTTAGTGAGATCGCCATTGGAGACACAAACCGGACAAACTCACAGGCCGAGCTCCAAATTGGACCGCTGCGTTGCTATGGCAACCGTGGGTGTTTTGTTTACCAAATTTAAATGGGGAATGGGGGGGTAATATGGCTCTCTGCTGAATATATTTTCATATTTCAAAATGCAGTAGAGATGGACCCTTTTTTATCGAATTCAATGCTAAATTTGTTTTTCAACACATTGTGTGCTTTCTTGCCTGTCCCTCTGCTGCAGGATTTTTCTGGAGCTCTGCATCTTTTTACCAGGAATCCTCCTATCTGCATTTCCCCACCCTGCAAGCTGAACTGAGCGTCGATATTTCACTCTTTTTCAAAACTAGTGCTCTCTCAGGAGTCTTCTTAGAGAATCTGGGTGTCAGAGACTTCATAAGGCTGGAACTTAGTTGTGAGTCATTGTTTAAATATTATTTGCCAAAAAAAAAAATTTGTTTTTCTTATTATTTTTTTCCAAGAAAATATCTAAATTATAAATATAAACTTACTTGAAGCAAAATTGCATAAGAAAAAGAGTAGTTTTATAAATGAAAAAAGTTTTAATTGGAAAGCAAGACAGAAACATTTACATAATCGTTCATTTTAAGGATAATATATCCTTGAATATCCTGGTATTGTGTGCATCTGACCCGAAAATAGGGGTTTCAGCAAGTGCTTAGAGACTCTTTCATTCAGTGAACTTTCAGTGAAATTCATTGTCATGTGATTTAAAACCACACAGTGTGAGATAAACTCTTTTTTTTCTTCTTCTTCTTTCTCAGCTCCCTATACAGTGAACTTGACTTTTGACCTAGGGGATGGACCAGTAATTATTACCGTTCAGTCACCTGTAGCCCTGAATGATCGTCAATGGCATTTTATCCGTGCTGAACGAAATGTGAAAGAAGCTTCTCTACAGGTTGACTCTCTGCCACTGAAGCTAAATGAAGCATCATCTGAGAGACCCTACCGGCTTCAGCTCAGCAGTCAACTCTTTGTGGGTACGCAGACATGTAATCAAGCAAATGTCATTAATCATGATAAAATAACATTGAGTGTACTTTAGCTGGAGCTAAGAATACCCCAGGGAACAGAGAAAATTTAGATCATTTCAATAGAAAGAATCTGTGATCATATTTGTAAGTCAGGAACCATGGTGTTGCTAAATGTTACAGGGTTGAAGATCAGTGCAAAAATATAATTACACCCAAGGCGTGACAGTGCAAGCATTTAACTTGCATTTTACTACAAATAGATGTGTGTGAACTGCAAAATGTATGTGTGCAAATAAATAGTAAGTAATTGAAGGTCCTTAAAAGACTTAAATTCAGTTGTATCAAACTTAAGGTCATAAAAAGTCATACAGTTTTAAACGGTATAACAATCTTAATTATTTTAGAGGTCTTGAATTTGGGGGCGGAAAAACAGTAATCATGTTATGGCCTAATTTGATTATTAAACATAATTTATCTGTGATTTAAATTAAATGAATGCAAACACTGCACATTTCAAAGTAAAAATGTGGCATGCTCGATGGGCTCCTGGTTTCAAAGCAGTTTGCAGTCAGTGAAAACCACACATTTATGCCCAGCTATTGCTTATTATTATTAACTTTGATTTATATGATGCTTGAATGATGCTTATTTTATCTCCCTTATTTGTTTGAGTGAGCAGCTGGAATAGTAAAGACATTTCAAATAAGTGCCAGTGTAGTTTGGGCTTGTTTATAATCAAAGTCCCACATTGCACAATAATCTGCCTCTGGCTTTTAGTTTGTAAATCAATTCCATAATTATTAAATAAATACAGTTTGAACACAAAATATTTAAAAACCTAATGTACTTTGTGTATTCAAATAAATAATTTGCTTGTAAATATCTCTGTATATGCCAAGCCCTCACACCACACCACATTATTTGCAGTCAGTATTCTTGTTTTATGCTAAGAACAATAATTTTCAGTAAACTCTCTGTTAAAAACATGGTAAAAAAATGTTATGCTGTCACTCACTTAAATGCAGTGTCATAAGTTGATCATCAGAGCATGCATTTTACAAAAACTTTATAGAATATGAAGGCACAATAATTGAATGCCAGTAAAAGCAGGTCAAATGTTAACCTATAAAACCTATTCATGTGTAATGGTGATGAATAAGAACATGTAAATTACAAAGATAATTAAGTAATGTTAATGGTTAAATATTAATATAAAATTTTTGTTTACACACTAAATAGAGTAAAATTATCAAATAATAATGCTAAAATTCAGTTATGTCAATAGTATAATAGGGACACACATAGCACATAAATGGAATCATTTTTCTAAGAATTACACTATTATGTACTTCAAAGGCCTTGGCTTTATAATTTGCCTATGACAATTAATCATTGTACTCTCCACATTAGGAGGAACAGCTTCTAGACAGAGGGGCTTTCTGGGCTGCTTACGTGCCCTCATCATTAACGGGGTGACCCTTGACTTGTATGAACGTGCAAAGACCACCCCGGGGGTGAATTCAGGCTGCCCGGGTCACTGCACCAGCGACAGCGTCTGCCATAACGGAGGGAGATGTGTCGAAGAGAGGAGCAGTTACACCTGCGACTGCACACAGACAGCCTTCGACGGGCCACACTGCAGAACAGGTGAGGTTACGATGGCCTCAGGGCGAGCTTGCTTTCATAGGTCTTGTTGCACTAATCAAAAAAAGCTGAATGAAACAGTCACTCTGGACTTAAGCACGCCTCAGATGCTTGTAGTTCTCAAATGCCATAATGTTGGCATTCCTGATGGCGGAAGTATTTTTATTGGATTTACACTGTAAAGTCACACAATTAGATCAAAGCCTTCAGAGAGAAATTAAATCAGCACTCTATAGGAGTTGATTTAATATCCTTTTAAGCCATGACTTGCCGTGAGCTGTTGGATATGGTATGAGTCTCACAATAGGAGACATTTGTAATAAAAAATGTGTATAACAGGAATGAAAGTCAACCCACTATATCTTCTTTGGAAATTTCTCAATTTCATCTGTTTTCGACAACTTTTCATGTTCTATTAGTTCAGGAGGGTCGGCCACTGGTGGATGACAACATGCCCTTGATGGCATATTCACCTTGAATTCCTTGAGGCTGGGCTGACAGGCCTTGGCAGAAAAGCTTTAACTGACAAATGGAATTTAATTACAGCGGCCATTCGCCTGCCTCATACCTATCCTGCAGCCTGTCAGTCAGATTAGTGATGTAATGGCTTTGTTTCTTTACAATGCGATGTCACGACGGGTTCGCTCAAGCCATGGCTGTTTACTGCTAACTAGAATAGATGACCAGAAAATGAGAAGAGACAGAAAGAATCAGTAGGACACCTCTCTGCCACGGTCTCAGCTGTGGTTGGGGAGGAAACAATACTAATGTTGTTGTTTTTCATAGCTCTAATAATGACAGATGAGATGTAGAGTTCATTGCCTTTGCACGCAATCTGAATTTGCATAGAGATGATGATAATGTTCTCAGTGAAGTTCACCAGGGACTGCATTGTCTCTCCGTGTCCATCACAGCTCTAGCAGCTTCCTTTGAAAGTGGATCTTCAGTCCTGTACACTCTCCAGGAGCCATTTTCCGGAATACTGAATGAGGAAGCCAGAAGATCACCGGCCGGTTTCCATGACGCAGAAGTTATCAAATCTCAAGAGAAGGTGTCGTTTGGATTCTTGACTCATCATGTGCCAGCCTTGATCCTGACAGCTCACACTCTGGACCAGCACTATATGGCTGTTATGCTAACATCAAACGGTACCAAGTCATACGTTACTCTTACATTTCCTTGTGGAATAGTCCTAATTTGCTCACCCTGTTACAAACCATATCAAGTTTCAAAAAGGACAATACTTACTTACTTACTTATTTATTTTTTCCTTTCTTCAGCTTAGTCTTTAATTTGTTTCACTGAATAGAAAAGAGCAGCCACAATATTAGAAGGTTTGGAGGGACATTAGAACTTCTGAACGGCAATATGTATACAATATCTGTCTTCCTTTGAGCTCTAGAAATTAAATTTTAGCTATGCAGGTTACATTTTTACAGAGTAGTGGAAATACATCAATGTTTCCTTTAATCCTAAAAGGAGTTGAGGAAAAGATGGCTTTTTTCTTCAATTTCACACCCTGTACCTTTCTTGTTGGCATACACTCTTTCAACTTGGCACCTCAATATTCTTGAAATTCACACATATCCATTAAAGTGCATCATATGCACATATGCTTTTTCTCTCTGTTACATCCACACCTTTTACCTAAAGAGCACATGGCATCTAAATTGAAGGCTCTTGAAACCATTGTCTCTCATCTCCATTTACAGTACTTTCACGCCTATGTTTTTACAGTTAGTGGAAAAGAATTTGTCACCATCTCATCAAGGGAACACATGACTGGCTAAAATGTCTTGCACAGCAGATAGCAATACACATCAGTCTTGACATGGAAGGATAAAAACGGAGAAAGGTGGTAAAAAGAAAGAAGCACTGCACTGAAATGCAGAAGAACTGAAGACAAGTATGCTAAGGAAAGACATAAAAAGCAATGGATTAAAGTTAGGAAGCAAGCAAATAATATTAAAAAATATTACAGAAATTTGTGTCACTTTGAATTGACAGAGAATATTGACAATTATTCAGCTCAAATCAGTTCACTGTTGATTCAATCCAGATCAATTACAGAAGACAGTAGTGTCATGATTCAGCTCAATTCAGTTCAAGTTTTGTTCTCATTATAGGGTTGTGCCGAAAGACGATAGTATCGTGTATCAAATATAGTTAGAGATATCGCCTGTTGCTGGCATCAAGACCATCATAATTATTATTATTATTATTATTATTATTATTATTATTATCAGGCTAGTATTATTATCTAATTAATTAAATTAAAAGTTTGGCATATGTAAGATTTGTTTATGTTTTTATTACAAGTAAGAAGTGAAATACGAAGTCTCTTATTTTCATCAAGACTTTATTTGGCATTTAGATGATCAAAAATACAGTAAAAGTATAAATACAGTACAGAAAAATACAGTAATATTGTGAAATATTTTTACAATTTAAAATTACAGTTTTTAAAATTATTTTTATATATTTTAAAATGTAATTTATTCCTATGTTGGCATCCTTGTGATTTTTTTAGCAGTCATTACTCCAGTCTTCAGAGTCACATTATCCTTCAGAAATCCCTCACTGATTTGCTGCTCAAGAAGCATTTGTTATCATTATTAATGTTAAAAAGAAATTGTGCTACTTTATATTTTTCAGGATTCTTAATTTGATTAAAATTCAGTAAAAAAAAAACTAAATATTTAATGTCAGTTCACATTAATGTATGTAGTGCTAAATACAGATTGTTTCAAAGCACTTTCACAGTAATAATGGGGAAAATAAGTGTTAATGTTGCTAAATTCACTAATTATGAAACTAATTCAATTTCAGCTATAAAGCAGCTCTACAGAAGACAGAAGTGTCCTTATTGAGCTCAATTTAGTTCAGTGTTGATTCAGTTCAACTCAACTAAGTAACACTGAAGATGTTGCAAAGTTCATCAATTATGAAACACATTCCATTCAGCTATAAAGCAGCTCCACAGAAGACAGTAGTGTCATTATCCAGCTCAATTCAGTTCAGTTTCTGTTCTCATTCAATACTCTGTGCAGTCAAATCGCTAATATTACTGAATATTAATTGTCTTTAAACCCAAACTGAGCATGCCAAAGGAGACAATGACTAAGAACCAAAACTCCATCAGGTGTCCTTGCATGCTGAATAATAAAAAAAAAGTATAGGAAAAAAAATTACTGACCCCAAATTTTTTGAAGACTTCATCTTACATTTTAACATGTTTTTAAAAGGTGCTTCATTTCTTATGTGTAAAACTTTTTACTGAGGAGAGTACATTTGTTTAAATAGAATTATTGCATGGCACTTTGGAATAGTCGATTCTAATCAATAAATTGCAGCATTCTATGGTGTGTATATATTTATTAGGGCTGTGAATCTTTGGGTAGACAGCAAATTGATTCGATTCACGATTCATAGGTTTTCGATTCGATTCAAGAACGATTTTTGTAAATTCAGAACGATTCAATTCACAACTAAATTCGATTCGATTCAATTAACGAATCGATTCTGCATTCTTTAAGTGCATTCACAGGATTATTTAAATGCTTCCCCTAAATTCTTTAAATGCTTAGTCAGGGGGCAAATTACACAGCAGTCTTTATGGTTACAGAACCATAGGTTAGAGGGAAAAACACGTTTGTCCATTGTTAGATGCTAGTTTAATGATGCTATGGCATGACATGGCATATGTAGAAATTTATGTAAGCCAAGTTTTTAAAAAAGAGCTTTAAAAGTATTATGTATAGGCTAACATTTTGTCACACCAGGGGTGTAGCCATCATTTCAGAAGTGACAGAAATGTAAAATACAATAATTTATGTAGGCCTATGTATGTATTATTTTGTATTTTTTTAAAAGAAGGAATTCTTTTCTTATCTCTTACTTTGAATTTGCTATAAGAAATCAAATACACTGCTGGACAATAATCAATCATTTGTAAACTATAATTTTTTCCTAATGGCAATTTTATGATTGTTTTATATACTACAAACAATCAATTAGCACTGCATCATTCATAAATTTTATTTATTTATTGTGTTTATTGTCTTAACTTTTCACCAGTTCATTCTGCTTTTTATTCAGCTTAGCTGCAGTGATAGATGCCTTTGTCCATTTTAGGCATTTCCTGGCACGTCTTAAGTTCTTTGAGCGCGAGATCACTTCTCTTTCAGTGTGAAAACTTCTTTATCTCATTTTCATAAAATAAAATGCTATAGTATTTAACTTTTCCTCTCCATCAGTGAATGATGATTCAGAAAGAAAACTTGCCCGATGTCTGTTTGCTATAGCAACAAACGCTACTTTCATGCATCTGATTATCAGATAAACCTCGCGCTCTTATCTCAAGGTTGTTGTTAATGCTGTGGTCATTTTAACAGTTTCCTTCGTACACTCGGTTGAACAACATTGCTAAAACACATTTAACATTCAATGGAACTGTGCATATGCTTTAGACGCTTACATTTTTACTCCGTCCATGCAATAAATGTGCAGCATTCGACTGCTCAGGTAATGATGTCGGTATGACCGAGAGCCATTGAAAAACTACAGAAAAACAAAACTGCTTTACTTAGCATTACTGGCCACGAGTACTAAGGAGAGTGATCACACATCAGCTGCTCAAAAAATGTGTCAGTGAGACGAACTGAGCACGAGCGCAATCTTGTGACAGTCACAGGCGGTAAATAGTGCAGGGTGTGAAGGAGAGATGCGAGGCACGAACACTGTTCAAGGTTTCCATTCATTCGTGCTTGTAGTAATTGAATGTGTATATATTTTGAAAGCATTGAATCGCTATAGAAATCGCAATTTATTCAATTCTTAGCGTTTTAAAACGATTACTGTCCGAAATCGTCGATTCACAATTCAAAAATCCGTGTTTCAAGATTGATGCATATGCATCGTCAGGATTTGTAATCGATGCATCGAGAAAACGAGTGAAACGTTACACCCCTAATATATATACATATACACTGGGGTCTTGAACACTCTGTTGGAGTTTGTTTTGCAACCCGTTACTTATCTCTGCAAATTTAAAACATTATTCCTTCTTGTCATGATACAACTCTGCATTCATTGTGTCAAACAAATATATTATGACTTTAAGTCAATAGCTTTTACTCTGATTTCCCAGGCAGCCTGCAAATACGATACTTGTTGAACAAAGAAAAACGAACAGAAAAGTTCAGCCCAGTGTCATCCACTCTAGCAGACGGACGATTTCACTGGGTCAAAATCAATCGAAAGGGACAGGAGCTTTTTGTCCAGGTGAGTCTTTGTCTCCATAGCAACAGGTGTTAACACAATGGCCAATATCTGATTTCTAAAGGGGTTTACTTGACCTCTACTATACTTTCTACAGAAATGAGGACAGATGATTTTTATGCTATTCTGAAATTTTAAAGGTCTTGTAGCATATAAATTATATTTCTAAAAGCATGTCTTAGTGATCTCAGATGTTTGTTTGTTTTTTCCTGTGACTGATTCAAATCTATTACTGTTATCTATCGTTTCCAAGTTATCTGCCATTATATCTGTCCACTTCCAGATTGACAACACAATAACCCAGCAGTACAGCCTGTCTCCTGGCTCTGCTCTCAGCCCGGCGAGGTCGGTGATTCTAGGGAGAATCCAAGGTGAGTTTCTGACAGGCTTTTGAAGAGGACTTTATTTCTTCATGTTCCTTGTGTGCCATTTCACACATTTCTATTTCTGTTTAACATCAAGGACCACAATGGAAACACGTTTTTAACTTTATTGTGCTATCCTTGACGTATTAAGTACTACTTTTCTGTCTATTGAATCAAATCAAATCAAATCACTGATGTGGCATCAGGTGTTGAATCCAGGCAGGTTAGGACAGAGTGGTTGTCTGGTTGTCTGTTTCTCTTTACCGGATAACCAATGAGGAGGGTCTGAAAGTGGCACGAACCTCAGCGCTTTGATAGAGGCAAGAGAACATTTTAGACAAATTAGCAATAAAGCACTCATGCAACTACAACAAGCCCCTTTTAGACTCATTAGTCATTACAGACGCAAAATAGAAAAGGAACCAGCATTGAATGTGCTGATTTATTCTGTTTTAGAAAGGCTTTGTGGACACTAAAAAAAGGACTTGAGGAATATAATAATGAAGCTTTTTAAAAAGGTTATTAAGCAGATTAAAGGTTACTTGTGTGATTCTGTGAAGCTGTGGAGTGGTTAAACAGTGACTTTAAAATAATTTAAAGGTGAAATGCATAATTAGTCTCAAATTACTCCAATATGTTAATCAGATGTATCCCATTGGTCAGACAAACAGCTAATTTCACTCCAAACTCACGCCATTTGTTGTGCCAATATCACTAACAGAGTCTTGTTTTGGTTACTCTTTTCAGGAGATAACCTGAATTAATTTTTTGTTTCTAGACTATCATTAAAATATGTTTTTTCTTTTTCTTTTTTAAGAAATTAATACTTTAATTCAGCAAGGATGCATTCAATTGATCAAAAGTGACGGTAAAGTCTTTTATAATGTTACAAAAGATTTCTGCTTCAAAAGAAACTTTTTGAAATTCTAATCATCAAAGAATCTTGAAAAAAATGTATCATGGTTTCCATTTTTGAAGGATCATGTGACACTGAAGACTTGCGTAATGGCTGCTAAAAAAATTCAGTCGGAGGGATAATTTACATTTTACATGACGATAGAAACATTTTAAATTGCAGTAATATTTACTTTATTTACTGTGTTTTTGATCAAATAAATGCAGCTTTGGTGAGCATAAGAGACTTCTTTAAAAAACATTTTAAATATCTTACTGACCCCAAACTTTTGAACAGTAGTGTCGTTGTCTGTGCATATTAACCTGGGATGAGAGAATGTATTTTAACATGTAAATATTACAAACATCACATTTAATTTCAGTTGCTCAATTTTTTCTGTTTCAGGTAGTGACATTATTGATAAGGAGCTGGTCCAGGCTGGATTGAGAGGGTTTATTGGCTGCCTGTCCTCCGTGCAGTTTAATCAGGCTACCCCTCTTAAAGCTTGCGTGAAAGTAATATGTGCCGGCCTCCTGGATGATGACAGAGCTGTATATTGTTATATTACGGGCATAATAATAGGTTATACATGCACAGCACACACACTTTCCAAGCAGACAGCACAGCAGGAGGGCTGAAGCATCCGTCTGAATTTTCTTTATCCAGTGTGCCTGCTCAAACCTGTCTGTCTCAAAGCCCGAATATAGAGTGGGCTTAAGCTAATGGACTGAAACCCCAGCGGAGAGGGTTCTGAGAGAATGGTTTTGTAAGTCTCGTCCTTATTGAAGTGCATTATATCTCCTGACTAGAAAAACAATACAAAAAAAAAAAGAAAAGAAAAAAACACTTGCTTTCTATTGAGAATTAATTCTATGGCTGTTTTTTTTCTATACGACTATTGTAAATGAATGGTGTACATACATTTCATAATTATATTTAATAAATTGAGCTTTCTAAGAGCTTATGAGTGCAGATGACCTATTGAACTGGTTTTGGTATATTTATGCAGAAATAAATGTATCTCAATGTGCACTCATGGCTCAACAGTAAGGATTGTTTCTGTTTGCTGAGACAGGCCAATATTTTCACTGGCTCCAACACATACAATTATAAACTTCACATTTTAATTCATTTAAACTGATAATTTTATATTGTATTTTTAATATAATTTGTTTAGTTAAAAAATAATAACACACATACTTTTGAAATATTTTACCGAAATAGCATTGATGGAAAAGAATTACCGGTTCATAATTTTTAGCCCATTCATCCAGATTCTACCTAAACTATGACAAGACATTCTTGTATTTCAATAAAACCTCATTATCTTCTGAAAACTAAGTGTTTTGAGTTTGTAAAGCATAAAGATGCATGTACACTTCCGTTTAAAAGACTGGTGTCTGTAAAAATATTTTTCAGAAAAGTCTCTTTCATCAATCAAAAATACAGTAAAAAATAATATAGTGAAATTGTATTACAAAATAAATTTTCTATTTGAAAATATTGTAAAATGTAATGGTCAAGTTGAATTTTCAGCATTATTACGCCAGTCTTCAGTGTCACGTGATCCTTCAGAAATCATTCAAATATGCAGATTTGCTGCTCAAGAAACATATCTTATTATTATCAATGATGAAAACAGTTGCTGCTTATTTTTTTGGGGGGGGGCTTTGAAAGTTATTTTACTGTCAATTTTAATCAAATAAATGTGTTCTTGCTGATTAAAAAATATTCATTTATTTCAAAAAATAAATTATTACTTAACCCAAACCTTTAAATGATAGTGTCCACATATAAAAAATGTTACAGATACAGCACTGACAAATGCATGAGACTTCTGTTATTATTGTTAAATAATAACACACATACTTTTGAAATATTTTACCGAAATAGCATTGATGGAAAAGAATTACCGGTTCATAATTTTTAGCCCATTCATCCAGATTCTACCTAAACTATGACAAGACATTCTTGTATTTCAATAAAACCTCATTATCTTCTGAAAACTAAGTGTTTTAAGTTTGTAAAGCATAAAGATGCATGTACACTTCCGTTTAAAAGACTGGTGTCTGTAAAAATATTTTTCAGAAAAGTCTCTTTCATCAATCAAAAATACAGTAAAAAATAATATAGTGAAATTTTATTACAAAATAAATTTTCTATTTGAAAATATTGTAAAAAGTAATGGTCAAGTTGAATTTTCAGCATTATTACGCCAGTCTTCAG